TGTATTGCGTCCATTTTGCTTAAAGTTCGGAGACTGACCAATACAGCGAGCAAGCAAACACATTAATAGCAATTTTCGGGTGTCCTTATTACACTTATGCTATTTCTCTCTATATGTTCTCACTTCCGGAAAATTAAAAAAATATTATTATCTTCAAGAGAGAGCTATGTTTATTGCCCGATGTCAGAGGCGTCTCCAAAAGGTGAAGTGCTGGGTATGTATTTATATTTTGAATAGGACCCACTTCGTAAATAGTAAAAAAAATCAATCATATTCTTCGTTTCTGATATATATATGTGTGTGTGTTTGTTTATATATATATATATATATATATATATATATATATATATATATATATATATATATATAATGAAATGGACAAAGTCCGACAATTATTTCAAGGCATTTTGTATGTTTATACATTCTTTTTATAGATACAGATATTGAAGTAAATGGTCTGTTTATAATAAACAGTATATTTAATATAAACATAGCATTTATATATGTATCTATAAAAAGAATCTGTCTATATTTCTGAGATGAGGTAATATATACACTATTTATATTATTCGGACTGTTGTCCCCATCTTTGTCGCCATATTTATTACAACGTTTCGGCCTTTCAGTATCTGTCTATATTTCTGAGATGAGGTAATATATACACTATTTATATTATTCGGACTGTTGTCCCCATCTTTGTCGCCATATTTATTACAACGTTTCGGCCTTTCAGTATCTGTCTATATTTTTGAGATGAGATATTATGTACACTATTTATATTATTCGGACTGTTGTCCCCATCTTTGTCGCCATATTTATTACAACGTTTCGGCCTTTCAGTATCTGTCTATATTTTTGAGATGAGGTATTATGTACACTATTTATATTATTCGGACTGTTGTCCCCATCTTTGTCGCCATATTTATTACAACGTTTCGGCCTTTCAGTATCTGTCTATATTTCTGAGATGAGGTATTATGTACACTATTTATATTATTCGGACTGTTGTCCCCATCTTTGTCGCCATATTTATTACAACGTTTCGGCCTTTCAGTATCTGTCTATATTTTTGAGATGAGGTATTATGTACATTATTTATATTATTCGGACTATTGTCCCCATCTTTGTCGCCATATTTATTACAACGTTTCGGCCTTTCAGTATCTGTCTATATTTTTGAGATGAGGTATTATGTACACTATTTATATTATTCGGACTGTTGTCCCCATCTTTGTCGCCATATTTATTACAACGTTTCGGCCTTTCAGTATCTGTCTATATTTCTGAGATGAGGTATTATGTACACTATTTATATTATTCGGACTATTGTCCCCATCTTTGTCGCCATATTTATTACAACGTTTCGGCCTTTCAGTATCTGTCTATATTTTTGAGATGAGGTATTATGTACTCTATTTACATTATTCGGACTATTGTCCTCATCTTTGTTGCTATGTTTATCACATTGTTTCGGCCTTTCATTATCTGTCTATATTTCTGAGATGAGGTATTATTTACACTATTTACATTATACGGACTATTGTCCTCATCTTTGTCGCCATATTTATTACAACCTTCCGGCCTTTCAGTATCTGTCTATATTTCTGAGATGAGGTATTATGTACACAATTTACATTATTCGGACTATTGTCCTCATCTTTGTCGCCATATTTATTACAACGTTTCGGCCTTTCAATATCTGTCTATATTTCTGTGATGAGGTATTATGTACACTATTTACATTATTCGGACTATTGTCCTCATCTTTGTCGCCATATTTATTACAACGTTTCGGCCTTTCAGTATCTCTCTATATTTCTGAGATGAGATATTATGTACATTATTTACATTATTCGGACTATTTTCCTCATATTTACCGCCATATTTATTACAACGTTTCGGCCATTGTACGCTCCGGCCTTCTTCAGTTGGTTGGAAAGTCGAACTGAACCCTTCATTTCGCTCACTGGGTTAGACTGTTTTAGTTTCACGTGCCATGTTTAATGGATGTCATTTATCAGATATCTCCTGTTAATTTCCCACTGAAAGTTCTCCACTACCTTAAAAAAAAATGTATTCATATATATATATATATATATATATATATATATATATATATATATATATATATATATATATCGTGCCTGAAAGAAGATTTAATAAATGCTGATGTACAAAAATTGTTTCTCCCTAAATATGGACCAGACTACTTAAGTAGTTCCCAGAAGTCTTTTTCGGTTTGTTCTTTCCTAATTCGGGCAAATATCGAGGTTTGTTTCTAGAATAAAATGAGGAATATATTTTTGTGAAGAACTGTTAGGAGTTGAACAAAAATCAGTCTGATAGATAAATTCTCGAGTGAATTTCCCTACCGAGAGAACATAATTTTTGTTGTTATAGAAACGAACAGACCTTTAAGTTTAATCCTCCTGGCGTCATTTTAAAAAATGGCGTCTTCTTTTTTTCTATATATCGAAGCATTAGCTATAAATTATAATTTGGGATACAGAAAATTCCAATGAAATATGTAGTAAAATTTCCAAGTTTTCATCTGGAATCAAGAAATTTCGATCTTTCTGCAAAATGAGCTTAGCATATGGAAAAAATTTGTTAGTATAAACTGATATATATATATATATATATATATATATATATATATATATATATTATAAGACTATAAGCCCCTTGTTACCTATCTCTTAACGAAAAATTTGAAATAATTACATTTAAAAATAAGATTTCAATAAAAATAAAATAAATAGAATAAGATATGTATTTTTTTATTTTTCCTCATTAATTTTATAACTTTAAACTTAATATAGATTAAACCTAAATTTTAAAATGGGTAATTTTTAATTTCAAATTTTATCGTATAATTTAATATTTATTAGAACAAATTCTATTTTAATCTAACCCCAACATTAAAGCATTAAATAATTATTATAGCCTTAGTTCGTTGTCAAGTTTTTTGAATTCTCGTATACTTGTATTTTGATTGGTCATTCCAGCTTATGTAACAGCGTTTCCCTAGCGAAGTGTGTTTGATTGATTTGAACGTTTTAAATCCCTTTATTTTACATTCAACATCATCACTTGATAAGACACCAGAGGTGTTGAAACAAAATGGCTATTTTTGTAGTGATTTTATAACATATTTATGTTATACTTTTCGAATAAATAATTATATTTGCTTGACTCTGTAATGAGCACTCTTTTAAGAATACTATTTGGAATTTATTCCGTATACAATCCTATACTTTATATATATATATATATATATATATATATATATATATATATATATATATATATATATAAATATATATATATATATATATATATATATATATATATATATATATATATATATATATATATATATATATATATATATATATATATATATATATATATATATATATATAGAGAGAGAGAGAGAGAGAGAAAGAGAAATAGCGTAAGAGTAATAAGAAAACGATAAAATTGGTTCTACTGTGCTTATTTGCTCACTGTATTGGCCAGTCTTCGAACTTTAAGCAAAATGGACGCAATACATGGAAATGATAACATAAATAATTTCAAGCTTGACATTAAAAAAATCAGGGTTCGATTTTAAACTGTATTCATATTAGGAACAAGACCCCCTGGTAAAATGATAAAAATCAACAATTTTATTCTGATAAATTATAATTTTGGAAACAAAAAATGTTTCACTGAAATATATTGGAAAATTTCAAAATTTTCACCTGGAATCAAGAAAATACGATCTTTATGCAAAATGGTCGCAATATATGGAAAAAAAAGTTGTCATTTTAAAATGAGACACACCTCTGTGTGTCCCATTTTAAAATGACAACTTTTTTTTATATTGTTATATAGGAATAAAGTTTTGCTTCCGACACTTGAGTTTGAACATAGATCGCCAGTGAGCAAACACAGGCGATCCCATTATTGAATTAAATGGATCATGTGACCAAAGAGAAACACATATATAGGAAGTTGTGTGACGTCTAGATTGATCTCTATTACTAGTCTATCCTCTATTACTGTTCGGATCTGCACTTCTAGTCTATCCTCTATTACTATATGGACCGCTATTCTCTACTCTATTTACTATACTATTTCTCTATACCGATTACTATTCGATGGTTACTATTCGAGCGAGTATTATTGAGCAAGTACTATTAGTGAGAGTGATATTCGAAGGCGTGTGACACCAGTATTGTTCAACGGTGTTACTATAGTTGTATCTGCGATTACAAAGTCTCTACTACAACGAGCATTACGAAAGTGACTACGAGTATTCGTTGACATCACAAAAGTGGCAACGAGTGTTCGTTGACATCACAAAAGATTTTAGAAGTTGGTCCTATTCATAATATAAATATATTCCTATCACTTCACCTTTTGTAGACGACTCGGGCATCGGACAGCTAGCCCTCTTCCAAAGATAATAATATTTTTTTTTTTAATTTCCCGGAAGTGAGAACATACGGAGAGAAATAGCATAAGGTTAATATGAACAGACCAAAATTGGTTCTACTGTGTTTACTTCTTCGTTGTTTTGTTCTGTCTTCGAACTTTAAGCAAGATGGGTGCAATACACTGAAAAGATGACGTAAACAGTTTCAGGCTTGACATTAAAAAACCCGGGCTTGATTTTACACTGTATTTATATTAGGAAGATGACCTCCTGCGAAAATGATAAAAATCAACATTTTTATTCTGATGAATTATAATTTTGGAAACAAAAAGTTTCACTGAATTATATTGGAAAGTTTCCAAGTTTTCATCTCGAATCAAGAAAATACAAACTTGAAGCAAAATGGTCCCGATATAGCAGTATAAGTAGGTATCGGTTTAAACTGATGGATGAAGGATATAGGTTAAAAAGAACTGATTTTCAATCGATAAATATAACAAAAGGCTTTTTAATAATACTTGCCGGTCGCATTGATTATCGATAAATGAATCAATATCACAGATTTTTATATTTCCAG